AAAAAAAAAAAAAACAACTCACTGCCATGGAGTTAGATCTGACTCATAGCGACCGCTCCTTGGGTTTCCAAGGAGGTATCACTAAGGAAGTAGATTGCCCAATCTTCCTTCCCAGGAGTGGCTGGTGGATTTGAACTGCCAGCTTTCTGGTTAGCAGTCAAATCCCTTAGACACTAAGCCACCTGAACTCCTAAGGTCAATATATTGGTTGTGATATTGTGCCACAGTTTTTTAAAATGTTACCAGAATGGGCTAATCTGTTCAGGAGATCCCTCTATATTATTTCTTGCACCTGCCTTGTGCATCTATAATTATCTCCATCAAAATTTCAATTAAACAGGTTAGTGACTAGAGGCATGTAAGAATTTATTGCATACAAGTTAAAAGTGTTTACGCTGATTTTCTTTCAAAAGAATCGCAGCTTTTTTACACTGCTTTCCAATAGTTCAGTCTGCCTTCTTCCTAGGACTTCTCAGCTTGTGGTTCAGCCATGGCTTGGGCCATGGCCTTGGATTCATCAGACATTGCCCAGGACACCTGATACATTCCCTCTTGCCTGCTCCTCTGCCTTCCCTCTTAGGGCCCTAATACTTGAATCACTGCATGTGACTGCCTCAGTGGCAGACCTGTGCACAGTGCCTTCTCTTTGACTTTAGGATGAAGGTCAAGGTCACAGGGAACATGTCCTGGTTAGGCTGAGCTCCCCAATGAAATATTGCTTAAGGAAATAATCTGTGATTGGCCTGACTCTCATAGGAGGCCGCCAAACAGCTGAAGTGCCCAAGTCAGAGTGCCTTTGGGAAGCTGTCTCCAAGACTTTGGATACAGATTTTTTACAGATTGGACTGCATGAATTCATCATGCCTCATTCCAGAGGATCAGAATCTTAGTCTGCTTTTGTTTATTCATTTGTTTTGTTACTTGAATCACTGTTGTTGATGACAAATTATCTTTAATAAGTCATGTGTTCTTTGAAAAAGCACTCTATGATATTTTCCAGTAATATACCAGACAATGTTTCACTGCTATTCATAAGGTTTACAGTGGTCAATTCCTTGAGAAGTGGATGGCCCCTTCCTTCTTCTGAGTCTGTCTTAGTCTGGAAACTCCTCTGAAATCTGTCCACCATGAGTGACCCTGCTGATATTTGAAATACCAGTGGCATGGGCTCCAGCCTCACAGCAACACACACGCCACTGCAGTATGAAAAACTGACAGAGGAGTGATGGAATAAGTCGTGTTCTTTGAAAAAGAACTCTATACCTAGCAGTTTTAATTCCTAACCCTCGCGCCCTTTTGTTTCTAAGGAGCCCTGTAGCACAGTGTAAGCACTTAGGCGCTAACTCAAAGGTTGGTAGTTCAAAGCCACTAACCACTCCACAGGAGAAAGATGTGTCAATCTGCTTCTGTAAAGATTATAGCCTTGGAAACCCTAAGAGACAGTACTACTCTGTCCCATAGGGTTGCTATGAGTTGGAATCAATAGCAACAGGGTTTTGTACTCCTGGTTACTTATAGCTTTATGTCAATTTACAGGGGTAGGTGGTAAAACTACTCTCTGTCACATACTGACTGTGATAGCTAAGGTTGTGTGTCAACTTTTCCGGACCATGATTCTAAGTAGTTTAAGCAGTTGTGATGTAATCACCTCCATGATGAGATATTCTAAGAACATCTACTTACTTGACGGAGAATTTCCTCAGGGGTATGGCCTGCTTCCGATATATGTATGGATGTCCTGGGAAAATTCTCTGGCTTTCTGTAGGATCTGGATTCTTCATCTAGCTCATCCTCATCTCCTGCTCCTGGAGCTGAACCAGTGGACTGCCATCTTGCCTGCCAAGCTTGGGATTGTTGCCTTTGCAGCGTGTGAGCCAACAATCTGCCATTTTTTCTGTCAATCTTGGATTCATTATCTGTTGAAGCCAGAGCCTGCTATACTGCCTGCCAATCTTGGGTTCATCAGCCCCTGCAGCTGCATGAGTCAGGAAATGTCTCCAGCTTGAAGTTTTACCCAGGAACCTAGAACTTGCCAGCCTCTAAAACTGTGTGAGCCATTTCCGTGAAATAAATCTTTCTTTCTCTCTCTCTCTCTCTC